CTGGATTGCTGTTATCTCACAATAAAATTTGGGTGGCTGCAGGGTTTGGGCCACACTTGGCAGTGTTCAAGGCTTACTCCTTGCTCTGTGCTCAGAGGGTCAGCCCTGGCAGTGCTCTGGAGATCCTGTGGTGCCAGGAATTAAGCCAGGGTTGGCTGCATGCAAGGCAAGTACCCTAAACCCTATACTATATCAATGGTCCCTCACAATAAAATTTTAACAGATAAGGAGTTGCCTCTTTTTTTTGTTGCTCTTGTTTGCTTGGGGGCCATACCCGGCAGCAGCAATGCTCAGGGTTGCACAACCAATGCTGGGTTCTGTGCTCGGTGATAACTCCTGGCAGAGCTCAAGAGACCATGCAGGTGCTGGGGATTAAACCTGGGCTCTTGAATGCACAGCTTGCATTAAGCCTACTGAGCCATCATTCCAGTCCCAGGAGAAGAAAAGAAAAATGTTATTCTAATATACTACTATATATATATTATAGTATATAAATAGTAATATATTAATATATTAGTATATATTTTATGCTATATACATTTATACTCTAATATATAATACTACTCACAGAAAAGTTGCTGTAAAACATGGATGAATGACTTTTTTTTTTTTTTTTGCTTTTTGGGTCATACCCGGCAATACAAAGGGGCTACTCCTGGCAGTGCTCAGGGGACCATATGGGATGCTGGGAATCAAAACCAGATCAGCTGCGCACAGGGCAAATGCCCTACCCGCTGTGCTATCGCTCCAGCCTCGAGAATTTTTTAAACTATATAAATGTAGTTAAAGCAGCAATAATGCTTGAGAGGATTTTGAAAATTCTACTGTGGGTATAGTCCAGACAAAGAGCACCTAAGAGCATTCAGAGAAATCTTGCTTTTGGTGTTGTTTTGTTTGCTTTTGGGCTACACCCAATGATACTCAAGACTTATTTCTGGCTTGGCACTCAGGGACCACTCCTGGCAGGGTTTGGGGTCCATATAGGGTGCTGGGGACTGAACCTGGGCTGGCGACATGCAGAGAAAGCATCCCACCTACTGTACTATATAGTATTAAGAAATCTTTCTTGGAAGGAGGAGTCTGGCAACCTTTCTGTTTCCTCATTTTCAGAAACTACCATAGCCATCCCAGCTTTCTGTAGTCAGTGGATTGCTGATCATCAGTCATCATCAAAACTTTTTTTAAAAAAAGAAATAATGTGCATCTAGAAGACTGTGTTACTGTGTAAACATAACTTTTATAATGCACTGGGAAACCCAAAAGCTCATGTGACTTGCTATACTCAAAATCTACAATGACTCCAAGGTATGCCTACAAATTAGGACTGACACCAAAACTAACCTCAATCAACCCAAAGTGACTCAATGTACCAAAAGAATTTCAACAACAGCTCTCCATTTCTCCATTGCTCACATGCTTGCCCACAAAACAACTATTATTATAGAATAGTCTGTCATTTAATTTTCAAATGCTTGATGACCTAAGTTACTGTCTGGAAGAAGGCACAGCAGACAGTGCACTGGGCTAAGTAGAATGGGAAAAGACTGAGATGCCGGCTATAGCTCTCCGCTACCAGGTATGCACCCATGGGTAAGGGTCTGAGGGCCAGAGAACTCAGGTTCCTTCATCTTCACAAACCAAACCAGCATATGGCCTACCACTTGGAATTAATCAATGCTGCAAGATACAATGGCTTAATATGCTTTAAAAATACAAGAAGATATTCTACATTCCAAGAACTCTTAAAGGCTCTTTTGTTGTTGTGTTATTTTTTTGTTTTGGGGCCACACCGGTTATACTCAGGGCTTATTCCTGTTCTGCACTAAGAAATCATTCCTGGTGGGCTAGGAGGACCATATGGGGTACTTGCTGTGCATCAAACCCGGATTGGCCACATGCAAGGCAAATGCCCTACCTGCTGTACTATCACTCCAGCCCCCAATTCTTTTAAGAAGCCTTTAAGCTTCTTCTGGAACTTAAGACCTTTTTCAATTTTTGCTCATTGAACTTTACTCCATAGTCATGGTTTTATTTGATCCCTGTACTATCTCTCTGGCCTCTACTTTTGTTTGTTTGTTTATTTGTTTGTTTGGGGGCCATACTGGCAGTGCTCAGGGTTGACTCCTGACTCTGCACTTAGGGATCACTCCTGGTGATGCTCAGGGAACTATATGGGGTGCCATGAATAGAACCCAGGTCATCTGTATGCAGGGCAAAAAGCCCTTCCGGCTATACTATCTCTCTGGAACTACTTTTGATTTTTTTTTTGAAGCCAATAAGGGAGACTGAAGAAAGGAAGAAAAGCTTGGGAGACAGCTTCAGGCAACTACGGAACCTGAGTATTCTGATCTCCCATCAGCCTTAGGTCTGGGTGCCTGTGAAGCACAGGGCACGGATGGGCAGCAAAGGCCTCTGTGCCAATTCTCAACAACAAAAAGGCTCCCAGATCATCAGAAGCTGGCATAGGGGCTGGAGGCACAGGGCAGTGACTTGGGGTGCCTGTATCGCTCCACGCACCAGGCATGATTCTGACAGTTCTGCAGTGCATTGCAGCTCTGCTGTGAAGAGGAGCACAACCCCCCGTAAGAACCAGTCAGAAAAAAGGCAAGTGCCTTGGTCGGGATGTGTGAGCCCAGGGAATCAACCGGGTGAGCACCGCAGTGAGCCATGCAAGCATTACCAGCAAAATATGTGAGCCCAACTAAAGCATGGAACTTCCCACCAAGCACACGTGCAGGCATTCCCATGAAGAGTGAAAATCCTTGAGCACCACAGCACACTGCACAAGCACCACAGCCTGATGTGCTGTGATCAGAGACATATGCACACCACAGCCGGGCACAGTGTGACACCCCCCCCCCCCCCCCCCCCAGTTACAGCAACGCCATCAACAACGAAGGGAAGGCAGAGTGGGGTGGAAACTGAAAAGAAAAGACCACAGTTTCATTCTCATTCTGAACTTCGGGTTAACAGCTAAAGTCTCTTAGCAATCTCTCTTTCTACTTATATGTAGTTACACACTTTACCTGGATTTTCAGTCTTTCCCCCATATTTCAAAAGCATTCAATTAGACAGTAAACAGGGAACACAAAGAAAGAGATTCTGGTCGTGCCAGGAGCTAATATCAGAAGTTGGCTGATAAAGCCAAGGAAGAAGAAGAAAAACTAAGCAGGGCTACTTTAGGAACAAAAGCAGAGTTTACAGAAAGGGAAAGTAAAATTGGAGGGTGGTTAACTGGGCATAAAATTTAGGCAATCTACTTATATGTCATGTTTTGACTGTCAACATCCATTAACAGAATCTGAATAAAAAACTATATGGTGGGCTAAGCAATAGTTTAGCGGGCAGAGACATTTGCCTTGCTGATCCTGAATCTCACATGATTCCCTGAGTACCACCAGGAGTAAGTCCTGAGTGCAGAACCAGGAGCAAACTTGAGCATCGCCTTGTGTGACCCAAAAAGAAAGAATAAAAATACAGTGTACATTTCTTTGTTGGGGGTGGGGGCCACCCAGTAGTACTTGGGGTACCATATGCAGTGCTGGGGATAAAACCCAGATAGCCAAGTGCAAGGAAGTCTCACTCCCTACACTACACATTTCTTTAAGGAAAAAGGGGTCGAATTAGGAGTGGGGAAAAAGTTCAAATGGCTAGGATGCAGGCTTAGCCTGAGGAGGCCTGGATTCAATCCTGCACATCCTGGAGAATGACCTTTTAACAATAAATCAGGAGTAGCCCCTGAACAGCACTAGGTGTGGCTCAAAAAAAAAAGTATAATTATAGTTTTTTTAATAGTTCAGTACAGTAGAACAAGGAAACAACTCAAAGAGCTAGAGCACATGCTTTGCATGCAAGGCCCAAGTTTAATTCCAAGCACTGAATGGTCCCATGGGCATGAAGTCAAGAATATCCCCTTAGCATCATCAGCTGTGACCCAAACTCAAAAAAATATGAATAAAAACCAGAAATAGATATATTAAAAAAAAACACAGAGTATATACCAGAAAAAAAAATTTAAATATGAAATCCTAGATTTGCCCTATATTTACTAATTTTAAGTATTACTGGGCTGGAGAGATGGTTCAGGGATAAGCCGACCTGGGTTCAATTCCTAGAATAATATATTGCCTCCCTAGGAGCCCTGAAACAAATGATTCCTGAGCAGAATAAGGAGTAAGCCCTAAGCACAGCCAGGTGTGACCCCAAAATAAAATAAAACAAAAATATTATTTAAAAAGCTGTACATGAAAATATAGTAAATGTACAAACTAGAGAAAACTCCTCTTAATTAATCCTTCACTCCTGCCCCAGTTAAATCCAATTTGTGGTCTAAATAACCTTTTGGGTCCATACCTTTTACTCTACATTTACACATATATGCATAAATACAAATATAGTCCTGTGCACAAGTGGAATCTTAGAATACGTATATTATTCTGTGACATACATTAACCCCTCTCGACATGAAGAGCTTTGCATGTGTGATGGTGACAGTAAAGACATGCCACAATTTATCTGAGACACTGAAGCATTCTCTCCTTTCTATTACCACTGATACTCTAGCTAAAACCAGGCAAAATTGCCAAACACGTTAAATTTCCTATAACAAATAGGTCGTTCTACACTACTTGGAAAAAGTCTTTTTTTTTTTAGTAAAGTAAAGTAAAGGCCCTCCCGTTGATCGTCGATTTGCTCGAGCGGGCCCAGTAACGTCTCCATTGGAGACTTTGTTGTTACTGTGTCTGGCATATCGAATACTCTCGGTAGCTTGCCGGGCTCTCCGAGAGGGGCGGAGGAATCGAACTCGGGTCGGCCATGTTGGCCGCTTGTAAGGCGAACGCCCTACCCGCTGTGCTATCGCTCCAGCCCTAAATGTATTCATATATTTCCATTGCTCGAGCGGGCCCAGTAACGTCTCCATTGGAGACTTTGTTGTTACTGTGTCTATGTTGTTACTTTATCTTTATCTTATCTTTTTTTTTTAACTTCTAAAAACTTACTTTGACTTGGAAGCAAATGTTTCATGATAGTTCTGCTTGATGTTGCCCATTTTACTGCTGTGAGTGCCATGGTGAATCCAGAAACAATTTTCATCCCTGCTTAAGAGAAAGAAACATGAGTGCCACCTTTAGCACACTGAAATGACCATATATACATATACACATAACTCTGAAAGAACAAGATAAGAATCACCATCTAAAGCTAAAGTCACGGGGGCTAGAGCGAAAGCACAGTGAGTAGGGCATTTGCCTTGCAAAGGGTGGACCCGGGTTTGATTCCCGGCATCCCATATAGTTCCCCAAGCATCGCCAGGAGTAATTCCTGAGTGCAGGGCCAGGAGGAACCCCTGAGCATTGCTGGGTGTGACCCAAAAAGCAAAAAAATTTAAAAATTTAAAAAATAAAGCTATAAACAACTCTCCATTTCTGTGTAACAAAAGACAAAAACCATCACCCACCAGCATCAGGTTCGTAGTTATTTCTCTTAAATCCAAAACCCTGGAACTTAGCACAGTTGTTTCTTTGTGTGTGTTTGTTTTTGCAGTGCCACCAGTTGCAAGACACTCGGTCTCTTTTTGTTTAAACTTCCACTAATGAGTTCTCACAAATGTGTAATTCCCCTTAGGAAGACTCACACACAAAACACACAGCATTCCCTCCTGAGTACTAATGGGTCTATGTGAAAATCACCTAGGTAGTATACATAAAACCTTATTATTACACCTCCCGCCAGTGAGATAGCACAGGAGTTTCAGCTCTTGGCTTGCACAGCAGACCCCTGCTGGAACCCCAGCATCACAACAGGTCCCCCAAGCAGGCCAGAAGTAAGCCATGGGCACTTAGTGGTATGGCCCAACTCCTGAAATCCCACCCCCCTAAAAAGCTATTACATCTTAAGCAGCATTGTTTCTGGTTAAATAAAATATTAAACAAAAAGGCCTATCTCTGGCCCATAAAATACAGGTTCTGAGGAACATATACAAATGTCATGAAGTCCCAAATAATCAGGAGGGCAGGGTATTGGGGCTCCTGGGAGAGAGAGGGGGTACACTCGTGATGGGTGTTGTTATTGGATTGTTACTGGAACCATGTGCGTGAGACACCATTATTAATAGCATTGTAAACTAGAATCTCAATAAAAATTCATTTTTATTAATTAATTACAATATTTACAGGATAGGGGCCACATCCAGCAAAGCTCAGGGGTTACTCCTGCCTCTGCACTCAGGAATTACTACTAGCAGTACTCAGGGGACCATATGGGATACTGGGGATACAACTTGGGTCAGCCACGTGCAAGGCAAGTGACCTACCTGCTGTACTATCTCTCCGGGCCCCAAATAAAGACCCAAATAAAACTTCACTGTCTTAGATACCTTTAACTTTCCAAGGTGCTCTCACTATTATTTCATTTTATTCTCCTTTTAATCATGTAAAGTATTTTTATTTCAATTTATGAGACTAAGGTAGAAAATTTTTAATTAATTGCTGAGGGGCTGGAGCAATAGCACAGAGGGCAGGGCGTTTGCCTTGCACATGGCCAACCCGGGTTTGATTCCCAACATCCCATATGGTCCCCTGAGCACAGCCAGGGGTAATTCCTGAATGTTGAGCCAGGAATAACCCCTATGCATCGTTGAGTGTGACCCAAAAAGCAAAAATAAAATAAAATAAAATTAATTGCTGAGGGGCTGGAGTGATAGCACAGGGGGTAGAGCGTTTGCCTTACATGCCGGCAACCCAGGTTTGATTCCCAGCATCCCATATGGTACCCTGAGCACCGCCAGGAGTGATTCCTGAGTGCAGACCCAGGAGTAACCCCTGAGCATCGCTGGGTGTGACCCAAAAAGCAAAAAATAAAAATAACTAAAAAAAATTAATTGCTGAGTCCAGAGGAATAACGCAGGGATTCAGAAAGTTGCCTATAAGCATAATTTCCCGAGTTTCAAGTCCCCAGGATGTCACACACCAGGAGATGCAGGTGTGAGTATTTACTACAAAAAGCAGACATGCACACCAGAGAGATTGGAGGTGGGGAAGGACCATTTGTCTTGCACACAGCAGACCTGGGTTAAACTCCATGGGTTCGAATCCTGACAGCCCAGACAGTCCCCAGAATGCGGCTAGGAGTGATGGCTTGCACAAAGGGCCAGAGATATGTCCGGAGCTCCAGGTGCGCCCTCCCTCTCCAGCTCCCCTCACTTGCACCGCAAAAGAGAAGTTTGCTTCCAGTTCCTTTCAAGTGTGTCATTTACAAACTGGGAAACTTTGGCTCAAGCCATGAAATAGGTGGCCATCGTGTTGTGTCTTCCAACAATAAGACGAGAAAACCACTATGTGTCAAGGTGTGTTGCAACCCTGGTGTTTCACTGGATGCTGATCCCTCCTGGTCCCTCATTACTCGTGGGATACAGTGGATTTAGAACAAGCTGCACGGTCTTGGGGGTCGAAGGTAGGTTGGCAGGCTCGGGGGTACATATGGGGTGCCAGGCATCGACCCTGGGTTGGTCACGTTCAAGGCAAGAGCCCTACCCGCTGTACTATCGCTCTGGCCCAAACTGCACGGTCTTATCGACTAAATTAAGCGCACGCAGGACCCGAGAGCTAGTACAGCGTGTAGGGAGTTTGCAGTGCACACAGCTGACCCAGGTTCGATTCCCATCATCCCATATGGTCCCCTGACACCGCCAGGAGTTAATTCCCGAGTGCAGAGCCAGGAGTAACCCCTTGAGCATCGCCTGGTGTAACCGCCCAAAAGCCAAAATATGTATATAAATATTAAAATTAAAAAAGAAGAAAATGAGCTCACATATGCGGCCCAAGCCCATGTGCTGCTTGTGCCCACGTGGCTGAGCACAGGCGGTGCCTGAGCACAGGTGTAGCCCCCATCTTCCCTCTTGAGATGTATACTTTCATGCTTTCATGTCTAATGCTGAAATGTGTGTGTAGGGGCTCTCTCTCCCCTTGGAGAAGCCCGGGTTCTCTCTTGAGCATGTTACTCTCCACTCTCTCCCACTTTCTCTCCCTCCTTCCCTTCAAAACCTCCAAATAAAAACTGTGTGTAATTTCAAAACAAAAAAAAAAGGAAAAAGAAAATGAATGAATGAAAATGAACTAAGCGCGCAGGGTCAGTACGACGGTACTGTTCCGCCCCAGCCCGCTGTGCATCTGTTGCATGTGTGCTTTCCTGCACACTCAGCTGCGCTTTCACACACGTGGGTCGCGAGCAACTCCACGTCCCACGTGAAAAAGAACCGACGCCCCGCGAAGTCGAACACCGTGACCCGGACGCGCTGCAAGCCCCCACGTTCTCACGACGAGCCCAGGCACAAACGCGGGTGGCCGCTGTCCCAATTAACACGCCCACCTGGGGAGGGGGCGTAGAGTCTTCATTCACCCACAACAGGGGCATTTTTCGGAGGACAACCGGGCGTCCAACCCGGCGCCCAACCCCGCAGAAAAGGTGGTCGAGAGCTCGCGATCTGAGACACCGGACACCCAGGGGCAGATCTAAAAGTGCTGCACCAGGAGAGGGCCCTGAAGTCACAAGCTCTGGCGGCTAAGGAAGTCCATGTGCCCGGTGTTGGGGGTGGGGGGTGGGGGGTGGGGGAGGACTCCGAGGAGCCCCACTGGAAGGGCACAATCTCCTGCCAGCCGTGCTGCAAGGCCAGCCCGGTCCGGAGATATCAGCGGCTTCCTCCTTTGCCGTGAGTGATACATGGGGATGCCCCGACACCAGTACATGCGCCTGCTGGGCCTCGCCAGCTCCTAGGAAGCCCTGCACCAGAGGAGGAAAATGAAGCGGTTACCTTGACAGCTGCTCACCGCAAACCCGCCATCTTGCCTCAATCCAGGGCCTACGGAACGCCGTCGCTTGACGCACCTTCCTGGCCCGCGCGGCACTCTGGGAAATGTAGTCCCGGCGGCGGCAATGGGCTCGGGCTGCCGCGCAAGCGCGCTGCTAGGAGCTGAACATGGTCCCGCTTGAATGCCACGCGGGTTACCAAAGAAACAAAATTACTCCCCCACCAAACACATCCTTTCAAAAGAGAGATGGTACAGGGATATGGAGACGCTTGCTTTGCGTTCAACCGGCCATGGTTTGATTCCCGGAGCTGCACGTGGTCCCCCACGACCTCCCAAGTTAAAAAGTGCTTTTGAGTGTATAGTAATCGTTAGAGGGACTCGACATGGCTCTTGGGTGGATGAGTTAAAGTTTCCTATAAGGGAAAAGGCATTTCGGAGAAGCTGTGAAGCAGGTTCGATTTGAAGGGTTTTTGGTTGTTTTTTTTCTGTTGTTGTTGTTGTTTTTGTTTTTTTGCTTTTTGGCTCACACCCAGCGATGCACAATGCACAAGGGTTACTCCTGGCTCTGCACTCAGGAATTACTCGTGTCGGTGCTCAGGGGACCGACCATATGGAATGCTGGGAATTGAACTCGGGTCAACCTCGTGCAAGGCAAACGCCCTACGGGCTATGCTAACGCTGCAGCCCCGGGATTTGAAATTTTGAATGGGAAAGTGGGGAAGTTCTGTCACAACAAAACGTATGCTCTGTGCTGGCTTTCTACTAAGTGAGGAAGCAAAAGTGCAGGATCGTGGTATAGGAAGATTGGAAGAGGAACAGGGTTCAGGGTTCTGATTTGGGTACAAACGACTTAATGTGGAGGTTGTTGAATTTGAGATTCTTGTAAACTATCCAAATGGAGATAGAAAATGAGACCAGGTTTTGGAGAGATGTATTTGAAGAGTAGGGTTGTTAACTCAGGATTTACTAAGCTGTTGGTGGCTAGTTGAGCCTTCTGTGTTACTGGTTTGGTTTGTTGAGTTTAGTTGGCTTCTGTTTTACTATCTCGCCTAATTTGCTGTGCTCTTACTGGAATTTCAGTGCAGTCAAACATGGAGATGTCGGATGACCACATCCCGAGAATTCAGGATCTGTAGAACTGGGATGAGTCTGCAGAGATTCTTAGTGAAGTCATGGAGTTAAGGCCCTAGACTGTTGGTGTGGCAAAAGCAATGGGGTGTGTGTGTGTGTGCAGCTGTTGGAGTTTTCTCACTTCTCCCAAGGCCACCCCAGAGTTTTCAGCAAGGAGGACTGGTGCGTCCATGGATTTCAGCTGCTTGACATATATTGATCTCTGATTTATAGCTTGCTTGTACCTGCTTTTAATTGCAGTCTGTAAAACCACAAGACCCCTGGTTTCAAGGAACTCCTTTTATTTGATGTAAATGTCCTTACCCTTTATGATGCTCCTGACTATGATGTCATGATTGTAACTCTATGACATCCTTATTGTACTTGATGCCATGTTGTAACTCTAAAGTTTTTGTTGCACTGGCTGTCTCCTGCTATATAAGAAGTCACATGCTTGTGCAGATGCTCTACATAAATGCTCTTGGAACTTCTGATCCCTATTTCTTTTTTAATTAATGTAGGAGTACTGTTACTTATTCAGCCATTGATTAAGCTCCTGATCCCGGTTGATTGGCTTCAGGTCCTTTGCTTAGCCACAACCCACTAATGTGATCGATCCACCAGTGTCAATAAACCTCCTTGTTCTCTCACCATAAGTCTTGATGTGCTTGATTAAGAGAACTTTGCTTACAATACAGGGAGGTTATTCTTTTACCGCCTCAAAACCCAATTATCTGAAACAAGGAACACCTGGGTCAGCTTAAGCTCTATCAATCAAATGAATATGTGACATTTGAACCAAGAGAAGTAGAAAAGGCGGGAGGCAAGATGTTGGTGTTGGGTCAATAGAATCCAGACAAACAGGACCAAGGCAAGAGTCAAGGTTGCTGTTGTAACTGTCTTATTTTCTTTTCCTTTTATTTTTGGTTTTGGTTTTGGGGGCAATACCCAGCATTGCTCAGGGGTTACACCTGACTCTGTGCTTAGAGATTACTCCTGGCAGTAGTCAGGGATACCAGACTATGAGATACCAGAGATGGAACCCGGGCCAGTCTTACCCACTATACTATCTCTCTACAATAGTCTACAATACTGTTCCTACAATAGTCTTGTTTTCTTGAATACATCATAGTCTATGGGCTAGTGACTCTCAAACTTCACTTTCCTCCATAGTGCCTGGGGAGTTTAAACACATATCCCTTGGTCTTATGACTTACACTCTCAAGATTTAGGGAGACTGGTGTGAACGGGGAGATGTACCCGTATGGTTAACCAACATCTGAAGCGATTAATTAGTATACCAAAGTTTGAAAACATCTATTTCAAGTATACCACATCTTAAATCATCTTACTCAGAAAATAAGCAAAGTTTTTCAGGACCAGAGAGATAGAATAGGAGGTTAAGCACTTTCCTTGCATACAGCCAAGCCTGGTTTGTTCCCAGGTACTGTATATGATTCTCCCGCCTCACCAGGGGTAACTCTGGAGCACAGAGTAAGAAGTAAACTCTGAGCATTACACTCCGAACAAAACCAAAACCAAATCCAAAATAAAAAAGTTTTTCAAAGTCAGTTCTAATTGTCTCAGAGCTTTGTAGAAAGCAAGTAACAGGGCTGGAGAGGGATTAAGGCACTTGTCTTGCTTATGACTGACCCCAGTGGCTGGAGCGATAGCACAGCGGGTAGGACGTTCACCTTACAAGTGGCCAACATGGCCGACCTGAGTTCGATTCCTCCGCCCCTCTCGGAGAGCCCGGCAAGCTACCGAGAGTATTCGATATGCCAGACACAGTAACAACAAAGTCTCCAATGGAGACGTTACTGGGCCCGCACGAGCAAATCCCAGTTGTGTTTCTAGCACTGCATATGATCCTCTGGGCACTGCCAGAACAGAACCTGAGCACCGCCAAATATGCCTCCCTATTCCAATTCACAAAATAATAAAAAGAAAGCAAGTGACAAAGCAGAGACGCATATGAGAAATCAATAGAACTGAAATAAAGATGGTGGAGGGTGAGGGGAAGGCAAGGAGTGGGAGCAGACTAAAATGAGATGTGGTTGGGGCATCCAGGATGGAAGAGTGATGGGTGAAGAGTTTAGCCTGGCTAAACAGAGGAAATCTTTCAGATAGAGCTTTACAGCTGCTAGAGCCACGGTCATGGAGTGCAAATAGTTCTCTTTGGAACCTGAAAGGGTGGTACGGGGAGGCTGGAAAAAAGTTCTTGCTTCCAGAATTCCTGTTCCAGTCTGGATCCTGCATCAGGTTTGGAGTCGCCACGCTCTGCAATCCCGTTCCCCTGGGTGTGAGTCTAGATAAAGGAGCAAAGCCTCCATTCACCTGCATAGAAATAGCCTGGAGTCAATCCTGGGCTCTACTCACATTCCCTGTGGAGTTTTGCTGTGTGGGAAATAAGGCTCTCAAATGCTTCATAAAGCAGAAAGCACTAAACCAAGGAAGACTTACTACTTGGCCTCCGGAGTTAAAGCAGCTCCTTCCACCCTGAATGATCCCCCGTCAGTCTGGCTTCCAGGCTGGTGTTGTGTTGGTTAACAGTTTGTATGTACTTCGCTATTTATGTTGAAGTCATGAATCTGAGACAGCAGGCGATTTTTGCTTTCTTTTTAAAAATCAATGTGCAGCCTTTTCTTCCTCCTCCACCCACTTCCTCCCTGAGTCAGTGCTCATGAACCCTCTTCTCACAGATCTGTCTGTCTTGATCGCCCACGAAACAGTTTTCCTTTGCTGCAAGAAACAATGAGGGTACTTGCAAACAAATACTTCTGCCCGATGATTGTTGCTCATGAATTGAAACAGAGCCTCCATTCAAAGTGATTGGCACACCATTTTCTAAACAAATCTACTCTTATTTTGGCTGTGTAAAGCACAAAGACAGTTTGTACAGAGCTCAGTTGCTCTTCAGGAAGTCAAGTTGAAAAGTTTAGGGGTGCAAAAACAAGAGAAAAGAAAATAAAAAGAGGAAAAGGAATTATAAAAAATGAAAAAAAAAAGTAAGGTGGAGTTCATGCACAATTCAATCAGCTAATCAGTGGCTGAATAAATAGCAGTACTCCTACATTGTAAAGGCCCTCCCGTTGATCGTCGATTTGCTCGAGCGGGCCCAGTAACGTCTCCATTGGAGACTTTGTTGTTACTGTGTCTGGCATATCGAATACTCTCGGTAGCTTGCCGGGCTCTCCGAGAGGGGCGGAGGAATCAAACTCGGGTCGGCCATGTTGGTTGCTTGTAAGGCAAACGCCCTACCCGCTGTGCTATCGCTCCTACATTAAAAAAAGAAAAAAAAAAGAGGAAAAGGAAGGGAAAGAAAAGAAGGGCCTGAAAGATGATACAGGGAGTAAGGCACTTTGCCTTGCTTGTGGCTGGACCTAGATTTGATTCCTGTCACCTCAAATATTCCCATGAGCACTGGCAGGGCAGGAGTGATCCCTGAGTACAGAGCCAGGAGTAAGCTCTGAGACTGGCTGGATATGTGTCCTCTCCCCCCATCCCCCGGGGTGGGGAGGGGGGAAGAACAGAAAAAAAGAGAAACCTTTAGAGATGAACAGAAAACATTTCTGCTTTCTAAGTAAATGTTGAATTAGGGATTCTGGGTTGATATCAACTCAACCATTCTCAAACAAGTGTTTATTTTCAGCCCGCAGTTATTGATTTATTCTCTTGATAAGTATTTTCTTGAGAGGTTTCATGTAGTTAGATGCCAGCGATAATAGCACTGCACTGTAGCACTGTCGTCCCCCATTGTTCATAGATTTGCTTGAGCGGGCACCAGTAATATCTCCATTGTGAGACTTGTTGTTACTGTTTTTGGCATATCGAATATGCCACGGGGAGCTTGCCAGGATCAGCCATGTGGGTGGGATACTCTCGGTAGCTTGTTGGGGTCTCCGAGAGGGACAGAGGAATCGAACCCAGGTCGGCCACGTGCAAGGCAAACACCCTACCCACTGTGCTATGGCT